TGCTGTTGAGTCAAATGAGACTCACAGTCATCCTACAAACAATGGATCTGAAACTTGCCCTGTCCTGTGTTATCCCTACCATCTTCAATACACTTGAGCTGATTGTTACAGACACTGTGTCAATCCACTTGTTGAGGATCTTCTGATCTTACACTGACCTCTCTTTTACAAATACGATGTCCTTTTCCAAGGACTGTTGTTGTTGTTTAATGCCGTCGAGTCGTAGATGACTCATAGTGAACCTATGAACAAACAGCCTGAGCACTGTTTGTACATAGAGTTTCCGGAGGCAAGCCAATTTTGGAAGTGGATGACGCTCTTGCTTCCAGGCTTGATTTAGTCAGGGAGCTCCACTGTCCACCATGGGTGCCCATTACCACGATTGGCACATCACTGTCACAGGCTTCAGCATCACAGCAACCACGAGTTACCTCTGTACAGCAAGGAACAGACTGGTGCTATACCACCTAGAAGAATGTTTGACAGGAAAACAGTTTGAACCCAGCCAGAGGGCCACAGATAGAAGAGTAACCAGTAAAACATATATGGGGACCCAAAGGGTGGAAGGAGTGGGAGCAGAAGGGTGAGGGTGGGCAGAGGGGAAATCATAAGGGTCACACAATATGCTGGGTGGAGGAAGGATGTAAAAATGAGAAAAATCTGGTGAGGATCTGGAAAGACAGGGTTCAATGGTGATTAATTTTGTAAAATGTAGTGAATGAGAAGGATAGTGTGAAACACAATGTGTACAAACTTTGTATGCAAACCAATGTAAAACTTAAAAAAGGCTAAAAATTTAGATGAGTGAGAGATGACGTTTTCTTCTTCAGTCACTTTAAGTACCTACTGCTTTAGCTTCTTTCTTACTTCCTTTTTGTTCTCTCCATTTGATCTGTCACCCCTTCCTCTTGTCCTTCACCATCATTCACCTTGAGACTTTTGGGCCACAAATTTAAATCTAATTAACCACTCCACTAGGTCAAATATTATTTTCTTACTGACTTTTAGTCGGGGAAAAAAGGATGCATTGGCAGCATTGTGATGGATGCTGAAGAGATTGAGATTGTAAACAGCTTTAGATAGTTTGCTTGGCTTCACAATCAACATCTTGGCACTAGCAGCCAGGAAAATAAAAGATGCATTGTGTTGGGAAAGTCTGCTGTCAGAAACCTCTCTAAATCACTGAAGAGAAATTATGTCAGTCAGGAGACTAATTCTTTCTAATTCTTCCTAATCCCAATCCTTCCTAATCCTTCCTTATCCTAATCTTTCCTACTCCTAACACTTCCTAATCCTTCTTTGAGCTTTTGCACCCTCATCCTTCTCCTTCTTCTTGCCCTTCCTAAATTTTATCCTTCCTAATCCTAACCCTTCCTTATCCTTCCCAATCCTTCCTAATCCAAATCCTTCTTAATCCTTATCTTCCTTAATAATACTTCCTAATCCATCTTAATCCCAATCTTTCCTTAATCCTTCCTAATCCTTCTTAATCCTAATCCTTCCTCAATCCTTGCTAATCCTTCTTAATACCAATCCTTCCTAATCTTAATCCTTCTTTGAGCCTTCAAACCCTAATCCTTATCCTTGCTGATCTTCATCCTTCCTAATCCTTCTTAATTTTATATAATCCTAATCCTATCTAATCCTTCCTAATCCTAATACTTCCTAATCCTGTTGAATCCTTTCTGATTCCAATCCTATTCCTTCCTAATCCTTCATCATTCTTCTTAATCCTAATCCTTCCTAATCCTTCTTTGAGTCTTCACACCCTAATCCCTACCCTTATTCTTAACCTTATCTTTAGCCTTCCTAATCTTTATCCTTCCTAATCCTAATCCTACCTTATCATTCCTAATCCTTCCTAATGCTTTCTAATCCTTCCTAATCCTGTCTAATCCTTTCTGATCCTAATCGCTCCTAATCATTCCTAATCCTTCTTAATTCCCCATTAGGAAAGATTAGGAAGGAATAGGATGGATTAAGAAGGATTGGGATTATGAAGGATTAGGACTAGGAAGGATTAAGAAGGATTAGGATTAGGAAGGATTAGGAAGCATTAAGACCAGGAAGGATTAGGATAAGGTAGGATTAGGATAAGGCTAAGGATTAGGATAAGGATAATGATAAGGGTGCGAAGGCGAAAAGGCTAAAGCCTTAACCTATATAACCATAACCACCAGAACCCATAACTACTAAAACTACTATAACCACTATAACTACTAATAAGGATTAGGATAAGAACTAGGAAGGATTAGGATGCATTAAGAAGGATTAGGATTAGGAAAGATTAGGAAGGATTAGGAAGGGTTAGGAAGGATTAGGATTAGGATTAGAAAGGATTAGGATTAGGAAGGAATTTTACTTTGTCAATAATCTCTATTTTTCTTAGGTTGAACCATCCTTGCATACTTCTTATGAATCCCACTAGTTCACGATGATTTTTTTTTTTTAATGTACTATTGGCCAGGAGTTTGTTAAAGATTTCTGCATTTATATTCATAAAAGATGTTGGTCTGTAGTTTTCCTTTCTGGTAGTATCTTAGTCTGGTTTTGGTATTAGGGTTATGCTTTCTTCACAGAATGACTCTGAAATTGTTCTTTCTTTTTCTATTTTTTTTTTAAATACTTGAAGTAGCACTGGTGATAGACCTTCTCTGAATGTTTCATAGAATTCAACCATGACTAAAAATTATTCTTAAAAGCCATCTATATTGTTTATCACAATTTTAAAAAACAATATATGTATATAATAAAGTTGTGTGTCATAATCTAAAAAAAAAACCCATGAAACCATCTGGACTAGGAAGAATTTTTTTTTTTGACAACTCTTTTTATGATCTGCTCAGTTTCTTCTTTTGTGATGAGTCTCTTCAGGTGGTCTTGATATCTTCTGTGTCAAACTGGGTAGAGATCTACTAATAGTTTTTATAGTTCTACTCTGAGTTAAGAAGCAAAACAGGCATGACCTCTTTTTTGATGAAGTTTTTAGATCAGTTGAAGAAATATAGTTATATGGGGATGTAGAGTTAGAAGACTTTGGTGTGAATATCAATTTTGCCTCTTACTAGTGTGCTCATTTTGACCTTGAATATCTGAGGGTCTCCATCTTGAAAATGTTAATGATAATTTTTACTCTAGCACACTTTAATAGTAAAGAAGAGCAAACCTCATTTCATTTAAAGATGATCAAATCATATTCCATAAATGGAATGATATGGCAGTTTTGATTAGTCCAGAAGTGCTTTGATATTCTTCACTTAAAGAAATTTTACTTCAATGCTCTCTTTATACACATAAAATAGCCTTAATGATTTGTTCTTAGTAAATGGAATAAAATATAAGTGGCAGTATTACTTTGGAGACAAGACCCTAAAGAGGCACTGTGACTTTTGTCTTGGTCACTCTGAGTTACAAAGTATGTAGGAGACCAATTGTTGTTTTGTGAACATTCCATGGAGAAGGCCGTCTGCTAAGGATCTAGATTTAATTGCTTATATGTATGAGCTTTGAAACCAATTCTTTAGTCAAGCCTTCAGTTCTTTTCAACCAACTTATTATGGATTTCTGATCATCAGAAAGCATGTGAAACAGTTTTAAGGTAATTTGTCTAGCATCAAAATATAACTAATATACAGAATACTATACAGCTCCATAGGAAAAAGAGAAAATAGCTTCTGTAAAAATTCTGCCCTGGAAACCTTGTGGTGCAGTTCTACTCTGTCCCATGAGGATAAGTTTGAGTCAGAATAAACACAAAGGCAATGGATTTACAGAGATATATTGCTCTTATTGCTTTGTACCCTGGAGTTGTAACCAACTCAACCTCCAGTGGGTTTTCAGAGGAAGTAAACTGCATGAAAGGAGATTATCCATCTCTTCTGAAAAGTAGCTAGTGGATTCAAACTGTGTACCTTTGGGTTGGCAGCACAATTCTTTACGACTAAGCCACCAGATCTCCTTACAGAGATCTAAGTATTAATGTTTATTATGCTCAACAACAACAACAACAATAATGATATTTATTGGATGAGGAATATCATACTCTAGTTTGATTTATATCTAGATTGGATGTGGAAGGCAGAAACTTTACTCACACACAAAATAAAAATTTCAAAATATTAAACACAAGAACAGATTGATAATTAAATAAAAAAATGATGGTGATGCGCAGACAACTTTCCAGCATGTGTTACATTTCCTGAATATTACAGCTTCTGATCATAACTACAAGGTACAGGCCAGAGGCTACACTGCAAAGGCATTGTTCTTCCATCCCTACTAACAGCTTCTGCTTTATTAGATTTTCAATTCTTATCTTGAGCTGAAATTAGTAATTTTCATGAATAAAACAATACTTTTATCTGGATAGAATAGAACTTTTTTTTTTGTATTATAGAAAGTTACTAAAAAATTGAAATAAAAAAAATAAAGTTACTATTTTTTTACTAAACAGGAAGGTTGTGGATAAATAGGATTCTGTTATTTGTCTGCTTCACTGCAAACTTTTGGAAGTCAATTTTATCTCCTTGCCAGTCAGAGCCTGGCCTCCACTGTTAGCAATATCATAGCTGTAAGGGTTGAAGGCATAATCCTAACCCAACAACTCTGTCAATATAAACGGAAACCAGAACAAATTTAAATGCAAGACTATTGAACTACATCCTGTCTATAAGATTCCCACTTAAAATAATTTCTTAAACACTATATAGAGAACAAAGTTGTGAATGAGGACTGTCTGTTTATTACCCTATTTATAAATACAGGATTTAAATTTCTTACACAATACGTATTGACTTGATTTTTCTCAGGGTTTTAAATGAAGGGTTCTATATTAACTCTTTGAAGCCATGAGAATAGCATTTTATGTTTATATAAAATATCACAAGTTTTAAAAAAATATATTAATCAAGCACTTTTTTTCTAAATTTTTTTTTCATTCTCAAACAACTTAGATAAAGGAATAACCTGTGAAAAGAAAAATAATTTGCAAATGTTCTTACTTGTAGAAGTTATGCTGTTCACTGTTGAAGATTGGATGGTAAGAGAAGATTCAGTAATATTGGGTGGAGGGTCAGTTTGAGGATCCAAAGAACCTGAAAATAGGACCAAAAAGAATTTTTTTTTGAGAACCAAAATACTGCAATAGAAAAATTAAGATGTTGACATAGTTTTGGAAAACAAAACAAAAAGTATATGTTGTTGTTGTTATGTGCCGTCGAGTCGCCTGTGACTCATAGCGACCCTATGTACAACAGCCCTAAACTCCGCTCTGTCCTGTGCCAATC